ACAGCGAAAACTAATGCGTACAGTGAGTACTGTGGGTAGTGAGCAACTATAATCTATAGAAATTGTTGTGCAAAAGCTGGCTATTTTCCTTTTATTTTTTCTGTAAATGTATTAAAAACTGCACACACTACGTGTAAACTCTTAATTAATGGTTAATTTAATCGACTATCTTTAGTCGCAATTATAAATCAAGTATTTAATTTTCATTTCCTGGCCACAGGGAATTTATGAAAGCGTCTCGTGTATCTGTACCTTACGCATATCGGTTCAGATCTCTGGCATTGGCAGAATCCGAACTGACAACGGAAACAGTCCGGACTCGGAGCCACAACGTCAATGACAATGACAACACACAACATGCTCGAACATGTCGTGCAGTAAGGGATTGGCGAAACGGCCGATAAACAGACGCGATTAAATGAGCAAATCGTTTAATTATAAGTCCACTTAATGCCAGGCGTAAAGCCAAAGGCTTTATGAACGACATTTGCTGCAGAGATTCCCGAGCAGAAGCAAGCGAAAAGCGACAAGCGACCGGCGACCATAGGCATGCGACGGGTACAGCCATTTCGATTTGCTTTCTGTGCCGGAGCGAGCAACGTGAGGCGACATTTTGACAGTCGACAGTGCAGAGGCCCAAGAGCCCCGCTGACCGATAGCAACAATATGTCAATGCGATTCGGCAATGATACGGCAGCACAGCGCACTCCATGTCCCAGCAGTCAAAATTGTACGGACAAGATGACGTCACTGCCTTTGGCAGTTCTTTTAAAGGCGCACGAAATTGCCCGCGGGCGAGTGGACATGGCACACCTTTGACGATTGCCCTTTTAATTACAACAACAAAAAATAGAGAGAAGCGCCTAAAACTTGCTCCAATTACACGCGTTGACACGGTCATCCGCAAACGGCAGACGGGTCAAAGCAGAAATTGAATGGAATGTAAAGTGAAAGAGGGGAGAGCGAAAAAGGGGCGAAAGCGCACAGTGAAAAGGGCGGAGAGCAGTAACAGCAGAGAGAGGCTGGATCCCGTGCATGCTTAAATTGCCATCATCGCGTTGAACGCATGTCATGTCCAGCCCGGGGCGAGGAGTGTGTTACTGCCTGCTGCCTCTGCCTTGTCATGGCCCTGCAACACTTTGACTGACGGACGGGGCCCCAGCCCGGCTCAAAATGTGAAATCAATGCCACACACCCGGACTTACCCGGAATACGTTACTTCACCGCCGACACTGACTTGACTGATTTTCCAAAGCTCTGTCAAGCTGGTTGACTGATTTTACTGCATATTTAGTTGTCCTTTTTTTTTGCATTTTGTTCAAAGTTTTGAACGGGTATTGGGAGTATATTGGTCTTTGGGTGGAAAGTGCAGATGCGAAAAGGGTTAAGGGTTAATGTATGAAAATTTGTGTACAAAAAATTCCATTTGCTGTAATAGAAAATAGAACTTAACCCAAGCAAAGCAGTTTCTATCTATTTTGAACTGCTAACAACTTTAAGCTAGCAAAAACATATCTCAAAAAAGTTCCTTTTAAAAAAATGTCCCACATAACTCGAGATGTTATCATAAACAAATAAATTAACTAAAAGTATAATGAAAATAAAATACTTCCCCCACATTTACAGGTCATCGCCTGGCTCCATCACATGCTTCCCCATTGACTTTAAATTGTTATTAGAAAGTGCCGTCATTCACTTGCTGTGTTTTTAAATCAATTTTATTGCAGTGGTTGTTTTTTATATTACCCCCAAAAAAGCACAACACATGGCAAGGGTGGGGGACAGTGCAGTGCAAAGAATAACAGCGAAAGTTTTTGTTGTTTGTACGAAACCATATTGACAGAGTGACGGAGCCGGGACTGGCCAAATATTTAATTGAAATCAGTGTCGCGGGCCATTAGCAAGGGAGTCGAGTGGAGCGCGTATGTCAGCGGATATCAGCTATCGGGCCAATTGCAAGCCCGTTTAAAAATAAAACAAATAAGAGCCAAAACCAAACGGGGGTGGAAACTAACTGAAAATTAAATTAAATCTCACCAGGCTGGCAAGCGAGTTTAAGGCGCTGTCTGTGAGGGAAATGAAAACATTCATCACGAAGGTAACATGTTTCCACCTGAGCAGCCGCTCCTCAGCCGCTGTTTTTGCTTTTGTTTCATTTGCCTGAAACTACAAGGGGGCCGTCTCCCGGCTCACGTGTTTTCATTTAATTTCAAACATTTTCTTTGCACAAATTACAAAAATTTGTTGGCTAAAGTTGGTCAGGGGCTGAAACTAAGACAATCGTTGGGTCTTGGCAAGGTTTGTGGGTAAAAACAAGGCAACTTGGATATATTTTACACATATTTACAGTGAGGGACACAAATGTAATTTGAATGACAAACTTCAATCGCTGAAAGATCTTTTTGTTTTACATTTTAGAAAAATTAAGCAATAAATATGAATAATATGAGCTAAAAAACTGCACTGCAACTGATGCTATGTGACTCTCCCATGTTCTCCCCAGCCAAGCTCCACTGTCGCGACTATTCCTCGCATTGTTTCCCTTATCTTGATCCAACCCAAAAATGTCATTCTCCACTCCTGGCCCGCGGTCAAAAAGTGTGTATTTCTTGTGACTAAATTTGGTGTAAAAATATTTGGTTGCCGCGAAAACACCGGCGTTAAAATAACACGAAAATCCAGCACAGAAGCGCACGGGGAAATAAAATAGAGGACACAGGCGCCCACCACCTGTACTCTGGTTGTGAGCCGCTGGATGAGGCAATTTACAGTTGCGTTGCCCACGTGACTTACTAAATCAACTTGGACTGGAGAAAGAACAAAATAGAGTGGGGAAAAATGAAAATAGAAAGGAACCTCAAATCCAACGCCCGCCCCTGGGTGATGTTGCCGGAAATGTCAGGCAGACAAATCCCGTTCAAAAAAAAAAAACAAAAAAAAATACAAAAATCTGCAGAAATCTTCGCTTGTTTTCCAGCTCTAACGGAGAGTAGTCCTGTGCAGCTCCTGCTTGTCGCCTCGCCCGCAAAATCTTTTTCTCTCACTGGCAGAGCACCGCCGGCGCCTCTTTGGCAATTTGTTGTGTTTGTTCGTCTTGTTGTTGTTGTTGTTGTTTCATTTGCTGTTCGTTGTTGCTTTTGCTGCTGTCTTGCTCTTACCATCCCGCTGGCTGTGGTAAATTTTTTGATTAATCAAAGGACATTTTTTTCTGTGTGTTTGTGTGCCTGTGTCGGCAGAATTAATGCAAAAATGATGAGTGGAAATTTGTCAAGCTTATTTACTTCCGTCATTTAATGGGCCCGCGGCATAGTGACACAGCGTGGAGTCAGGGGGGGGGGGGCAGCTGAAACGGTAGACCCGACCCGGAATTGGCAGCCCAGACCGGGGAACTTATCTTTGTTTGCTCGAGCTCAGCCCGCAGCCATTTTTATGCATAATTTTTGTTTGGTCAATTGTTGTTGTTGTCGCTGTTGTTTTTCCGTTATGTCGTTGACTGTCATTTTTACCTGCGGCGTCCATTGGCCATTGCATATTTTAGCCGGGATTTGTCCTAATGCGTTGAATATTTTTCAGTGCCTGTAAAGTGTTTCGGCATTTTTTCGTTTCCTTTTCTCCCAAATCGGAGATTTTGCGGGGGTTGCTAAATCGAATTTTTGTTGCTGCCATTTTCCTCGTTTTTTATTTTTTTTTTTGTCTTTGTTTGTCTCTGTCGCTGCCCTCAAATCTGTTTGCCATAAGTTGGGCATGCGAAAGCACAGGAAATGAGGGGCATAAGCTGCTTGGAAGGGTCGCTGTTTGGTTTGGGAATTTACGGTAGAGAGAGTAGCATTAGGGGGTATTTTTTATTGAGGTAATTTTAAGCATATAAAATCGCTTGGTGGAGCGCTCAAGCAATTGCAGAATAAGTCAACTATTACCTGCCATAGTTGAGGAGCTTTAGGGGGATCAAAACACACTGCTAAAAATATAAAACAAGTACAAAAAAATGTCCCAGGCTATTGTACACACTGTACTTTAATTTTCCACATTTTTAGTAATTTTTTAAAACAAATTATAAATTTTTAAGCTAATTCCCAGCATTTTGATCAGTTTGTTTTTCTTTTTTTGGGCATCCCCAGGCTGAACCAAACTTACACGCAGCTTCCACACTCCTCTAAAAAATAAAAAAAACCTTAATCCAATGTCAAAGGCTCCCCACATATTTTTTAGTAATTTTTTAAAACAAATTATAAATTTTTAAGCTATTCCCAGCATTTTGATCAGTTTATATATTTTTTTTGAGCATCCCCAGGCTGAACCAAACTTACACGCAGCTTCCACACTTCTCTAAAAAATAAAAAAAACCTTAATCCAATGTCAAAGGCTCCCCACATATTTTTTAGTAATTTTTTAAAACAAATTATAAATTTTTAAGCTAATTCCCGGCATTTTGATCAGTTTGTACTTCTTTTTTGGGCATCCCCAGGCTGAACCAAACTTACACGCAGCTTCCACACTCCTCTAAAAAAATATAAAAACCCCAAACGAATGTCCATATATTTTTAGTTAAGTTTTAAACCGATTAAAGTTTTCGCTTTGCAGCGCTAATCAAATTTTTCCAGCAAGAACAACCAAAAATGTCTTGTTTCTGTGCATTTTATTTGTGTTTATTTGTTGTATGCTTCATACATCATTTAATACATTAACAATTCACATACAATAATTAAATTTACTTGCCCATTGATTGTGTGTGTTCCTCTTTTCTTTTTTTCTTGTTGCTGTGCGCTCAAATATTCATGTGGTTGTAAATTTGTTGATATTCCGCTTCGTGTTTGAAATAGTTTCGGGTTGTACATACCATACACATACACATACATATACATACATACATTGTAGCAAATTGTACGTTTAGATATATTTTTATTTCTATTAATTTAATTTTGTATTTGTTTTTCCTTTCCATTGCATATTTTTAATTAATTGCCAATGATTTTTTTTTCGCTTTCTTGTTGGTTTTTTCACATACACTCCTCGTACATTAATATTTTGCATTACACTTATAGGAAATGGATGAGCTTCCTGCACGTTTCCCTAAACTAATTCGAAATTTCAACTATTTACATTTTGTTTGCTGTTTTTTGTTAACTTTTCTTCTTCAATTGATTTGTCGCCTCCTCGTTTAGAGTCCCCCAGAACCTGATGACACCTAGATGGCGCTTATGACACACAGAGGGCGCTCATGAGGGCGAGCCACTAACTCTGAGTGCGCTGCCAGCGCAGCAAGTGTGCGAGGCCCAGCAGCCAGGCGGCCAAGGAAGCTGCAAAAGGGATAACAAATATTAGTAGAGGAACTACAGCTGCTCTCCCTTTCGCTCCCTTTCTCACCTGGTTGACCGCTAATGCAGGCGCCATTCTCGGTGTAACGCTGATTGCTGCCCGCATCCTTGAGCGCCAGCACTGTGGTCCTCACGCGACTCTCGCGCCGTGCACTGGCCAGACCCATTATGTCCGCGCTGCAGCGCAGCTCCAGCATCTCGCTCTTGCTGATGTACCGCTGGTCATCCAGATGCAGGCGCAGCTGCAGGTTGCTGGCGAACAGCGGAAACCCTTCGACATTGCGTGTGATCTCATTGATTTGTGGCTGCAGGCTGTGCTGGGGCGCCTGCAGGCAGGAAAAGGGAAAGTCAACGAAAAGTTGTTAAAGCCAAATTGTGCCACATACGGGCTGTTGCCAGTGTTCGTTCTGTGTCTGACTAGATGTCCATTGACAAACTGACACGTGACCCCAGGCCGTTGGCGACATGCGACATGCTGGCTGGCTGGGTCCACTGACAAGCAGCTCAAATATGATTTGAGGTCGGTATGTATAGCCCATATCCATATCTAATGTGCAACTCCGATCGAATCGATAGCACTCACCGTTTTGTTGTTGATGTGCCACATAAGCCTGGCCGCCGGACTTGACCATTCCGAGCTGCAATTGGCCAGCAGCGTGTCGTGATATTTGTAGGCGTGTCGCACGCCCGATATGAATGGATCGAATTTTGGAAGGACTGCAAGAGAGGAGGAGTATTGAGCAATGCAGAGAATATTTAAGTTGGGGCCATGGAAATGCAGAGAAAATATAATGCGGTAGAGCAAAATGTTGTTATTATAATTATTATTCGTGTGCTTTGGGCCACAAATGGCCACTCTTTGTTTATACTTTGCCAAAAACAAAAAAATAAGGCTGTAGTTCTGAATGATTAGAACACTTTCTCGTACTTAGACTTTTGCATTTTGCCACAAAAATGTTTTTTAAGAATTAAAATTCAAGATAAGCTTAAAAAGGTTTTTTTTTTTAATTTCAAAACCGCGTCTCCGTGACTTTTGTAATTTTTACGCAAAACTTTGGAACGTGGTTATACACGAAAAATAATATACTTTCAAGAAAATTAAAGCACCTTTCACATACTGTTTGATGCGTGTTGATAGAATGCATACAGCCAAAGATATAGCCACTCAAAGTTGCAATTTTAATTTTTTTTTACACTTTTTGATTATTTCAGAACATTTTTCTACAGCTTTGAACATTTTTTAAAATAGTTTTTTGTATTGCATGATACTGTTTTTAGGCATTAAATAATTAGTGCCATTAATGCTTAATAAAATAAGCTACTTACTATGTATTTAAATGTTACACATAATATTTCTAATTATTTTTTAATTACTGCCTAAACCCTTTGACAACTGCCCGTAATAAGCGCCTCAAAACTCCAACTGCCAATTAATTTCTCACGGACATATTTATCAGCTTCAACTAATGAAATTTTGTCACATTGTTCCTGCGACTAACACGAACATTTTCGCATTTTCATTAAGCATTCAAATTATATAATGTTGCACCCCAAAAAAGTTGTTAGCTTTGTGCAAAATTTGGAAACAAAACTTTTGTGGGGCGCAGGAAGGCAAAACCCCTGCTTGCAAATGAAGAATGAAAACTTACGCCAATTAGCAGTAGCTGTGGGTGCGGAGTTTCACTGTATACAGTGAGTATTCTATGGCAGCTTGCAGCGGACAATTACCGACACGCCAGCAGCAGCCAAATATTTATTTCAAGTGTTAATTAATCTTAACAAATAATTGGTCACTGGATAAAGTTTTGTTGTTGTTGTTGTTGGATGAAAAAACAAACGTAATTTAGTTTATGGTTTGGCACACCACAGAGGGCAACAACAACAGCGTATCGGAGCTGCCAGATTCGAGGTAAATGAATGCCAGTTGCCGCAGCACTGAAATATGCTAAGGACCTCCCCCCCCAAGGCATAGCTGGGGCCGGGAGACACTGTAAGTTGTGGAGGAGGGGGGTGCCTGGTAGCCATCAAAAGTCGGGCAGTCAGCAGGACTATAAACTTTTTAATTGACTTAATACAAACCACTTTGGTGGAAAGTTTTCTGACCTGTTTCAAGTACAACTTACAGGCGGACGGCCATACGGCCATACGGAGTTGAAGTTGATGATTGCGGCCATGTTGGGTCTGCCCTCTGCCACCGCACCACCCCTCCCTCTCAAATTGTGTGACTTGCATTGCAGCAACAGAAATGAAAATTTGCACGAAAACAAAGCAATCAAGTCGGGTAAATAAACCAAAAAATATATACCAAAAGTACCAGTAAAACACGCTGAAACAACAACAAAAGGATTGGGAAAATATACAGCGGAGGGAGGAACAAAGAAAACACAAGGCGAGGGGGGAATACACGGTGCAAAAACAGGGGTCAAATCAGTACAGAAACGAAGGTTAAAACAGTACAGAAACAAAGGTAAAATCAGTACAAAAACGAAAATAAAATGAGACCAAAAATAAGTACAAAATCTATCCAAAAGCAAAGAGTACAAATCAGTGCAAAAATGTATCACAAAGTAAGTATAAAAGCAGTAAAAAAGTAAGCTAAAATCGGTCCAAAATTAAGGTTAAATCTGTCTATAAACAAAGCTAAAATAAAGGCGAAATTAGTGCAAAAACCAAGTAAAAAATGAGCCCAAGCGCAGGTAAAATACTTTCAAAAATAAAGACAAATCACTACAAAAATAATGTCGAAATCAGTTCAAAAACAAAGCTAAAACGAGTCCAAAATTAAGACAAAATCTGTTCAAAAGGTAAGGGTACAAGAAGTAAAAAATTAAGGACAAAATCAGTTCAAAAATAAAGACAAAATCTGTCCAAAATCTTAGCTAAAATCAGTGATAAAATAAAGACAAAATCAGTTCAAAAATAAAGACAAAATCTGTCCAAAAACTTAGCTAAAATCAGTGATAAAATAAAGACAAAATCGCTCCAAAGATTAAAGGTAAAAAAAGTTAAAAAAAATAGACACAAAATCAAGTTTAAATCTATCCAAAAACAGAGTTAAAATCAGTCCAAGAAACAAGTTACAATACCTGCAAATGATAAACCCACAGACACCTTAAAAAATATTAAAAAAAAAACTGCCAAAACTGGACAGCAGCACCTGGCGCCAAACCCGGTGCAAAAATGCTTCTAAAAGTGTAAGCTAAAAATGTGGCAAAATCTCTGAAGTAATTAAGTGCGGCTCAGTCGCCTGGGCCATTGCTGCTGCTGGTACTGCCTGCAGTTTGTGTGTTTGTGTGTTTTCCAAACCGGCAAAACTTGTGACAAAAGTTAATCAGTGTGATGACACACGGCACGCAGCTAAGCGACAAAATATTTGCACTGGGCAAAAAGTTGGGAAGGCGACCTCAAGCCGGCTCGGGTCGGGGCATCATCAAAGAGTCCAAGGTGATGGCTGTTTGAAAATCGAGAGGACTCTCCACTACACACCACACACAGAGCGACACACAGCCACTGTTGGCTCTCCGTTGTTGTGACAAAGTTTTTAAGGTGGTTACGTTGGCGATGGCACTTTAGTGACAAAATTCCCAAGTTGATTGTTGGTCTGTCAACAGCTCCGCCTTCAATGGAAAACAACAAAAAAAAAGGAGAGAAAAAAAGACATGCCTTTGGGTTAGCACTAGCCCCTTTCCATATTGTCCTCCCTGGACACGAACACGAACACGAACACAGACAGGACACAGGACACAGGACACAGGACACATTGTCCTGGCGAGGGCTTTAAACTTTGACGCTATCTCCGCTCGTTGATGAAGTTTGATGCCATGGCATGGCTGGTTGCTGGTTGGCCATGGCTCCCCCCCTGTGGCATGCTGTTTTTTTTATGGCTTATTCGTTGCATGAGAATGTTGTGTATATATCTAACTATGTATGTTCTATATAAATTAATACGATGAAAAATGCACTGACAAGGGACACATGAGGCAGCCACTGATGATGTCATTCGAAGCGCTCTTTTATTTGCTTTTTATTTTATTTTTGTTTAAATTATATAAATGGGTTTTGGGTTTAGTTTGGAGCGCAGTTTAATGTGTGTTAAAATGATTATTTGTTTGCAGCAATTATTTGAATTTGGAAGCGCATTTACAACAATTTTTGCACAATTTATTTTGATTTTTATTGCATTTTTTACAACCGAAAGTTTAAGGGTTGTTCTGGGCACACTTTGATGATTATATTCAGGGCATTATTAGTGAATAAAACTGCTAGTTTTATAGTCTAAGCTGGCACAAGTCTAAGTTCAATGATTTATTTTCAAATCAATACAAATAAATGTAAACCTCCGCTTTTAGCTTTGTTTTTGCTCATTTAAATTCGTTTATTTTCACATAAAAAAGCACACCACAAAGAGGTGACACTTGCCACTACCTTAGTTATTAGATAACACACAAAAAATATACAAATAAATTCCACAACTCCATTAAAGTCTCCAAAATACCCCTGACAATAGTTTCTGCCATCACTTACATTTCCATAACTGCAATTAGTGCCCTCCTTTACGCTTTGCCAATAAATCAAAACTTGACTCATAAAGCTATAAATAAAAGCCAACAATAAACCTTTTCAGGTGCTAGAAAAATCCTTGGCACGTTTTCCCTAAGTCCATCCTGTGACGCCCACTTAATCTAGCCTTTGGGATTTAGCATGTTCAAGTGCTAGCAACTTGAGCATGGGATTACTTTGTCTATTTAAGTGTACGTTGAATAGATAAAAGTCAAATTGACATGCAAATAGGCAGGCAGGCAACAGACAACAGACAACAGACAAAATGGTAGGCAAGGAGTGAAGCAAACATCCAATTAAATACCAAGGAATACAAATACAGAAAATGCGAATTCAAATTTGATTGTTACGCGTAAACAAATGCCTAAGTGCGCATTATGCAAATCAATATCAGCTCTTAAAGTAGCAACAATAAATAAAGCAACCAAACACAGGGCACATGGCACATGCCCAGGCACAAACTCTGTTGCATAATCGAGGGGCCTAGACTCAGCGGCAAATCCAGTCCCAGTCCCATCCCAGTATCTCCAGCATGAGGGACGGGGAAAAAACAAATCGCTGAGCGGCAAAATTGCGACAAATAAATCATTTCGAGCCGCATTGAAACTAGAAACAAAAGACATAAGCAGGCCATTTCCATTTGCCTCAAATGACATTGGGGCGAAATCAATTGATTTGAATTTCAAAGTGGAGCCAGAGCTATGGCTCCTGCTGGCCGCAATCAACCACAGCGGAGCGAAGCGGACTGTGTTCTGGGTGTGCTCATCGTCATGTACGCTGCCAATCAAAGCGAAATCAAAATGGTTGGGCAATGCGTTCGCTGCCCTGCGGTGGCATGCGGTGGATCCACCAAAGCGTTTGGCGTTGACGTTAACCAACCCCACTACAAGTGCCACAAGTTCGCTTTTTGATACACTAACAGAGGGTAGTGGGAGTTTTGTAAGGAGTAAAATTAATAAATGATCAAATAAATCTTTGAACTAAAAACTATAAGCAGAAAATAAATACATTTTTACTCCGAAATTTGTATAACTTTTAAATCAATATTCTGCAGGGATCGGCAGGAGTTGCAAAAAATATCTGACACATCTGATGGATCGGTTTATGATCAATGTGGATTGGTTTTAAACCAAAACGTGAGCTATAAAGCTTCTAAATCTTTATTCTTGTAAGTTAATATGCAAACGGATTTGACTCTGTTCTGAAGTTTGACCGTAGACTTGATTCAGATATTCACATTTTTTTGTACAATTTACTAAATTCTTATAGAATATATTCAGATATTCATGGCAGTTATACTCGTGGAGGTAATATATTATTTATTACATTATTTTTAAACTCTTCTCCACGGCCAAAAAGCATGAAAAAATCGGTTAAAACTCAACCAAAAGGGAACATCGACATCCCACTTTTACATCTTAACAAAATGCCACATAAATATCTTAAAAAGGATACCCAAATCTTCGGTGTCCGCTGCCAGATTTTCTCTGCCCCTTTTTGTTGCGTTTGTTGCTGTTGTTGTCTAGGCCCACACACACACACACACACACACACACACAGCACGTGACAATGCCAAACGACCGCGCATTGTAGATTATAAATTGATTCGTACAAAACTCACAATTGAGTTGAATTTGTTCACTGGTGCGGCAGGTGCCGCAACGGGACGTTGAAGGGGCACGGGAATGGCGCACTGGGTGGCGCCACGGATGGTTGTCAGGATTTATTAACAATCATTACTCATACAAATGGCTGACGCGTGTCACAATTTTCCAGCATTTATGCGACGCCCTTTTGAACTGCCTACTGCCCCCAGGTCGCCACCTACTGCAGCACCTCCTCACCTTGCCACACACCACACAATCCACCCGAAACACTCGACTCTGTGTGGCAGTGATAAATGGAAAGGAGTTTGCTGGCTGGCTGGCTGGCTGCCGTCGGTGGCCATGCAAAGACCATTTATAATTTTATTAAGTGTTTGCAAAATTGCACATAATTTGTTGTCTTTGTGTTGCAAAAACATAAATCAAAGACAGAAAACAAAATTTATCGCAAGTTCACAGTGGAGCAAAGGTCATGTAAACAATATATTTTGTGTGTATTAACTGTTGTTTGTGGGCAGATTAGCTGTTGTATTTGTTGTACGATCGCAAGACAAAGCAAAAACGAGCGAGGGCGAAATCGCTTCAATGCAAACTGCAATCATGGCGGGCCAATTCGCTCCAAAACGAAGTCCAAACATGGAGGCGAATTCGCTTCAATGCGCTTCAGCGGAACGCAAAGCAAAAACGACCGAGGGCGAATTCAGATGAGAGCGAAATGACGATCGGCGAGGGAGTCAGCCACCGACGCAAAATTGTAAGAGACAAGACGAAGAGCAACATTAAATTTCTTCTTTACTTTACTTTACTTCACCTCCATATACGACCACACATACATACATTAGCATTGCCAAATATTATATGTATATTTCTTGCAATTTATATCATTTTGGCCCACTGTTTACGGGATCACGAGTGAGTATTGAGTGGGGTGGGGGTTGCTTGTACGTACCACCGACTGTCATATTGGCCGTCTGATCGATCAGCTTGAACTCGGGCGCATCGCCGGACACCTCGCAGCGGTACTGGCCGGACGAATGAATGTTGAGCTTCTCCAGCTCCACGTTGCAGATGAATTGATTGCAATGCGACGAACCCTCGGCGATGGTGACACCTTTCACGGGGAACCAATTTGTTGTCGGCGGTGTTAGCGGCGAATATCTGCAAAAGACAAAGACCAGCGAATGAGTGAGAGAGAGAGAGAGCAAGCAGCAGCTTGAGCTTCGAGTGCTGCGCCAAAAACTGAATCCATGAAATATTGATGAGGGAATCATGCAAAAAGAGATAGAGAGAGAGAGAGAGAGGGAAGAGTTTTTGGTTTCCGTTTCTGCATTTGCGTCAAAGTTGCCGCAACGCGTTGCAAAGTGAAACGTTCATCGATTTGTATCCACTTTCGTGTGCCACGCTGTCGATTTTTATTATGAATATTATGCAGTTTCCATCCAGTTGTGCGCCACTTCAATTTGTGGCCGCCGATCCACTCCCGGCCACTGCCACTGCCACTGCCACTGCCACTGCCCTGTCCTGCCGCGTTGCCACCTCTTCAAAATACAAATAAAATTCAAATTCAATTCAAATTGCCAACTGTACGAGTACATGCACTTCCATTCGAATATTGGGTATATATGTATTTGTATATTTGTGTGTGTGTGCACGAATGTTGCATTTGATTACAGCAATTAGCGTGGCGTTTGGGGAAAATCGTTTTCCATTTTTCCACAGTTACGAATTGCAAATGTGCCATTGAGCGCTAGTTGCGAGCGCAGTGAGCGGTACGCAGGGAAATAGAATACTCTTGTGTCTGGAATATTTAAATATTGATCGAGTGAGTGGGGAAATTGAGTTGGCCACTTGTCGACTGGGTCTCGCTTGTCAATGCAACATACACACACACACACACACATTCATACATACATACTATGTACATGGCTTTGTGTATGTACATAGGTGTTCGTTTACCATTTAATTATACTCCCCCCCCCCCCTTTTTAGAGTGTTCGTAATTAGCAAATTTTTGGAAACACATTTTAGATGAATTAACTCAATAACATTCGGTTTGAGAGTTTATATATTGTGTGATTTAGATTAATCTACTGCAGATAGTAATTGCGAACTTGGATATTTCTCTCTTCGCATTGTCTAAACGCTCTCCCCATCTCTCTCACACCTGACAGTGCAAATACACAGCCTCACAAACGAAGAAACCAGAGAGTCAGGCGGTTACCCTGTACCCGAATGTACCTAAACAACTAAGTAAAGAGCGGCAAAGAAGTGTACCGCAAGAACCTTATAAAGAGCGGAAAAATGTACCTTTGTGTGGGTTTCTCTTTGACTTGGAACTATAAAAAAGAAGATCGAAAGAGAGAATATCCCAGAAGCAATTCAGACTCTTCTCTTATATGCAATTTTGGGACATTTTAGGTCTACGATATTTTATTTTCTGTGTGTCTACTTCTTGGTTTTCTAGCTCCTTGCCAGAGTGGGTAATTCGTATTATGAAGCCAGGGATTTTTGTCGTTGAATCATTTTCCCTGCGGCAAATACTGGCATAGTGAAAGCAAACCATTGAAATGCCATGCCAGCTGAAGTTGAAGGAGCTTAACCAACTTTCTCAATTCGTGCTGAAAACCGCAGATATTGTCATAGCAAAAATTAACTTTGATTGTTGTTCATTTCTTGAATACCGAATCGAGTCGATTAGTTGTTGGCCAACAGTCAATTGAACATCGAGAACAGACTGAGCGAACCGAGAGAGAACCGCACTAAATGCAAAATTGCAATCGAAATTGTGTATCTTTTGTGATGTTTCTATTATTTATTTTCTTTTTGGTCTCTGGGACTCATGGGTACTCGCTGCAACCGCAGTGTCAAATGCACATAAATAATTGAAGCCGAGAGGGACGACCGCACAATCAAAATGTTCACACAAAAGCGTAATTGATAAAAGCCAACTGCCTCCGGCAGTAAATTACTGAGTAGACAGTCCCGAATACCCCATACCCCCATACCCCTGCCTAAAAGACTCCCCACAGCAGATATGTCAAAAACAATAATTTTGAGCCTGGGAATGCCAATCGAAAGCGGTCGCAAAACGCGTCGAATTTGCATGCATTGTACATGCAACAATGTTGCATGGAGGCAGGGGCGTGCCTTCTGCTCTGCCTGGGGTGGGGTGCTGTCCATTTGGGAAAGCCCGTAAACCGTTAAATGGTTCTGCTATCTGGCATAAATAATCATTTTCTTGTCGTCGGCATATTTGTTTGAGTCTTTAAAATCAATAACCCAAAAACGAAAGAAACAACAACAAATTATAATACCCAAAAGCCGAAGCCCCAGTTAAAAATTTTGCGCTCGATTAAGCTGCGGATGGAGCATGGATATGGGTCCGGGTCCGGGTTCCGGGTCCCGGGTATGCGGCAATGTGCAACAATTAAGGCAGTTAAATAAAAAGCTCTTTCGCAAATATTTGGGCTCGTAAACCCGAAACGGGCGCAGCAGCGTCACCTGGCCGCAATTGCAGGCGCCCATAAAAATCCATTTCAATTAAGCATTTAAATTAGTTGCGACACTTTCAAGCGTCTGTGAGTGCACTGTTGCAGTTTCATGACGTTTTCAATTTACGCCATAAAATCTGCATGAATGCGCCGGCACAGAGCTCCGTCCAGTCTCCAGCCTCGAGTCCAGTCGAATGCCGCCGAAAATATTTTTATGGCGCTTACTTTGTACCCTCACCTGAAAAACTCCAGCCCGTCCTTGTACCATTTGACGGAGTTCAGTGTCCGATTTCCCATTTCGTAGCTGCAGAAGAGCTTTGCCTTCTGCGCCACATCGATAATGCGCGGAACGGAGAGGCTGGACAGGTGCAGTCCATCCGCGGGCAGGCAACCTGGAAACGAAACGAGATCGGGCATGAGCATTGGCATTGGTTTTATTCAGAAAGCTGTCGTTAAGTTGGGGGGCTCTACGTGCGGGCCTTGAATCAGCTCGCATGAAGAACAGATTACATTTCGAGAATATTGATTTTAAAGTTTACTGAGTTGTTCCAGAACATATTTTTATGGCAAGTTTTTGACAAAAGATATGCGAAAATGTTCCTAAATCTAGATGAAATTTGCTTTAACATTTATTAGTGCATTTTTTACCATTTTTTTTTGATTATGATTATTTAATTTCAGTTATTTCATAATTTTTGTGCATTTTTTTGGCCAACTTTGAAGAATTTATAAGCCAAGCATTTTTGGTAAATATTTTTCTCTCTCCACTCTCCATGCATTCCGTACTTCATTCATATTGTGGCTGTTGTTTTTGCAGCCATTATTCACAGTGACCCTGCGGCACCTCCTTCTGACCCGCCACAGCGGAATGGAGCGTGCCGAAAAGGTTATCCACATTAATTCATTGACTTTAAGGGCTGACCCGACCCGAACCGGCTCAAAGCAGCTCTCCACTCCACACTCCCTTTTGCGACGAGGACTTCAGGACTTCAGGGCCATTCTTTGGACATTATTTTGTTTGTTTGTACTTTATTCCGCGTCGCCACATTCATTATTGCATTTAAGCTCGGGTGCCGCAAATGCAGGCCATGAATCAAAGGCCGGACCCGTCGCACACCACGAGCGCATTAATTAAGTTTATTTTACTTGGGCTGATAATAAAAATTATCCAAATTAACGGGCACCAAGGCCAGGGGCGAGTAGCTCCCTCTCTCTTTCACTCTGTCTGTCCCTCTCAGGTTGCCGTGGCTGCTGCTGCTGTTGTGCCATGTGAACTATGAACTCTGGCTGACCGACAAAATAATTAGCCCTGACTACGGCCACTATCATTCGTCTCTCTTTTTTTCTGCTTTTTTTTTTGCACGCAGCCAGCGGAAGCAACAGTTTTTCGTTTGTTTATGTGCCCGAGCACATTTCCGTCGGGATAACGCTGGGACCGGGATCTGGGACTGGGACTGGCACTGGGACTGGGTTCGAGTTTTGATGGCCCCTGGGACAACGGCTTGAACGACGACTAATTACAACAAATAACAGACAAACAGAAATTAACTTATGTGCTACATAAATTAGCGCTGAAACATGACTTTTTTTTTGTTAGTTCTGGTTTGTGTGGCGCCTCAATAGTTATTGCCACGCAGAGTGCGGCATGGCAACTATGCGCTGGCGGTTGTCCGCCCCAGGGGAATGACTAATCTGCTGACAATATTGGCATTAGAAACTGAGCTAAAATAGGAGCATGTTTTGATGTGTTTCTATGAATATTTGTAATCATATTTGCTCAGTGCCATAAATCCTTTATCCTCGATCAAAGTTCGCTTGTTTCCTTGCTTTTATCCTGCAAAAATATATACAAAATTGTCCCTGCAAGAGCATTTGTCTTTCGCCATTTAAAATGCGCCCACAACCCCATTTAATTGTTTTTCTTTTTTTTTTTCAGCCATTTAATCTTTTTTGTTCAGTGTTTTTCAGGCAGTTGTAATGATGTTTTGTTTGGCGGAAAAATAAAGACCAGATGACATGTGCGATTACGATTGCGCATGTTTCGGTTTGCTGTAGATTATTTAAGCGCATTTTTTGGTGTTTGTTATTCATGTTTACATTGTTATTGTGTTTGTATTATTATGCTGCGGGGATGGGTTGTGCTTTAAGCCATTTGCCAAACGGCGCAATCTTCTCGACAAATTGCTTCATGTGCCACGCCACGCCACGCCACGCAGCCCAGACACATTACTCATAATGACGGGGCAAAAAATTCGATTAGCTTGGAAAGCAATTAAGAGGCTACACACACACATGCCCCAAGGGGGGGGGGGGATGAAGGACTATGCTATGAGAGGGGAAATTATAAAGGCTTTCTGGCCACAAGTCCCCGTTTCAGCCACAAGAATGTTCCCTGCCACAAATCTGGCCTAAGCCGCTCTCAAACAGCCAAACTCGTGTGGGCATGTTCCGGCTTCTTATGTCTTGACTGTCGTCGCCGTTAGCCGCCGCTTCAGTTGCCCTTGACTGATTGTCGGTCAGTTAATATCACTCAAGCAGACACAGACAAGCTGACCATGTGAGTCGAGCGATGAGTTGGCCAAAAGCATTTCAGCATTTGTGTATATTTCAGCCAGAGGCCGACCCTCCCTGCCTCACATGCGATGAGATAATGAATGCGTTGACGTTCAAGGATTTAATGTGCCGAAACAATGATGAATTAGTGACGAGACAGAAATTTCTCGAGCGCAAAATAATGAGGCATTTGGACCTACTCCCCTTGCCCCCCCTGTCCCCTCTCTCGCTCTCTCTCTCTCTCTCTCGAGGACAATCATGACGGCAGAGCAATTCTGGTCTAGGGTGGTCGGTCATTGCCTTGGCCTGCCTTGGTGACTATTGTGCGGACAATTTGCTTTGAATTTAGTTGATTGCCGTACGGGAATTCGGCGCCATTTGGGTGCCTCCGCCTAACGGCGCATTAAATTCGAGAAAATAATTTCAGCTGTACGAATATTTCGACCCAAAAACGACTATTTGCTAATTTAAATCTTAATGCCAATCACTGGCCATGCAAACCCAAGGATATATACGTACGTATGCCGCTGTCGTGCTGTGCCTAAGGTGAATTTATCTTTGTCATCGCCGTTGACATTGACATGTGGCACAGTTTTTTGCCTTGTCTGTTGGGCCGTTGAGGCATTAATTCAGTGAGTGTGTCGCCAATCGAGTGGCAGAGGACATTAGGGACAGCACGTGTCCGTCACAAAACCAAAGGAACAATCACCTTGAAGGCAGCTTTTGCTGAGCTTTCCAATAGGTAGATCCAATGGTAGATAAATTAACTTTTCCGGCAGTTTTGAAACCTTAAATAATAATCATAAGAGTTTCCATAAAGCATCAAAGTTTACTTTAAGAGTCTCAAATGTTGAGTCACACTTTAAATGCCACAGCAGAGCTGCCAAATGTTGCAAATGTTTTAGTTCCCAGGTTTATGTTCAGGTTTATCGCTAACTACACAGCATTAGAGACATTTTCCTTATGTCAATTCTAATTTGAGCAGTTTCGACAGTTCCGCAGAAGACTCCCAACACTCCGCACTCCCACTGTTAGTCATAATTTTGAAGCAAAATGAGAAGCAAAAGTAACCAGAGTGAAAGAGAGTACAGTTACACGATTCGTTACGCCCTGAATGGAATGCATTCTTGGCATTTTCTTGTTAGTTTTATGCTCTCTGCTTGTCAATGCGGCACTCTGGCCTCTGTACTCCCTTTCGGCTTGCCCCCGATTTCCATCATCATTTTTTGTTTGGTTGTTGCCGGAGCTGGAGCACATTTCATCTACGCTACATGCTACATGAGGGAAAAGCACTTTCCCTTTTGTCTGGGACACACACAAAAATCTAGCCCGTATTTTAGTTAACATTTTTAGTGGCTTGCGGAGTCGGGAAACAACAAAAGATTCATCATCTTTTTTTTGTTTCCTTTTCGGGCTCTGCCTCCCCGGATAGTTCTCGAAATGAAACTTTAACATTTTGTGTGTGTATCGGATGGCAAAGTGTTTGTTCGCCGGGTTAGATGTTGGCCCTGGGGATTGTGTGTGAGTTCTTGACAGTTTTATACACCAGAGGCTTGGGTGGGGTGCGTTGATGGATTACTTTGTGGCCACTGCCTTCGATTGTTGCATGTTCTGGGGCTGATTAAAGCGTTACGAAACGTTGTTAAAATTATGCATAAATTGCGAATAAATATGTAATCAGATGAGCAACTAACTCGCAGCTGAAGCTGTTGGCAGTCGACACTTGATTGCGGCTGAAGGACACTCCACTGGCGCTGATGATGGCTGAGGGTATCGCATCGAGCCACTGACTCTGGCTCCTGCTGGTAATAGTTTGCCAGGTAAAAGCCTGTAAACGAGCAAAACTGGCACAAACGAGCTGCAAGTTGAATGCAGATGACGACGACGATGCTGATGCTGATGCTGATGATTACGAATGCTGGAGAAGGAGCTAACGGAGCAGTAAACTCCGCAAAAGGATACCCAGATCCTTGGCTCGAGTCGTTGGATGGAAACCCATTCTGTTGGAAACTGTTTGCCACCAACCCCGAAGCAGCAGCAGCTAGCAGCCAGGCAAGGACTCAAGTAGCAGCAACCAAAGGGAAGGCAACGGACTTCGCCGCCCTCCCCCCTTTATTACGTGGCGTATACGCAATGGAAATATGTATTTCCGCCATGCATTGTTTATGCTCTTGTTTCGTTGATTCTATTTTTCCTTTCTCGTTTTTCTGCTGCTGTCTGGCAAATTTATTTGTTTTTTTTTGTATTTTGTAAATTTATTTTGGTTTTTTTTTTGGTTTTTTTTGTGTTGCAATTTTTGCGATTGTTGGCTCTGGCGTCGAGCATTTGCAACTTTTTGAATCATTTTTTATAAATTCTGTGCCTGCAGTCTCGCTCCTTTCCAATCCACCGCCGTCATTCTTTGCGTTCCTTTCGCTTTTAATTAAAAGCGAACTCTCAATACAATATGCAATTCCCCTTTTTGTTTGCCCTTAATTTTACCTTCGTTTCTTTGCGTTTTTTTTCGCAGCTGTTTTCCTTTATCCTTTTTCGTTGTGGTTTTTGCCAGCGCACAGATTTCCCACGTCTCGCTGCTGTTGGTTCTTCAGTCTCTGCAGACTCTGAGGTTTTGTTATTGTGGGCAAAGTTGCACAGCTGAAAATTAGTAAGCTGAACTGCGATCTGGCCTATAAACTGGGCAAAGGCCCGCTGGCAAAGCTGTGCCAATTGCAGAAGTTGTGGCGGGGCCCCTTGAGTGCCTGCAGAAGAATCGAGAGAGCCAGTTCATAACTTTGGAATTTCTCACAATTCTCATATTTTTGTTGTGCTAATTGGAAGTTTTTTTCCGGCCAGTGGCACA